ACCCCTTCCGATTGCTCGCGTGCTTCTTTCACAAAGAGAGACCTTGTGTCCCATCTCGGTCAACAATGTGATAGCTCGTCAACAAGAAGCTACTAGGATCAAAGGGCATCGCTACTAGGAGCAAGGACGCCACGAACGGGGCTCCTGGCCGTACTACTACGAACAAGGACGCTACTAGCTCCAATGTGATAGCTCTCAGTTGGACTGGGAAGCATCCGAAAGATCTGCCAATCGTTTCCAAACTCTGGCTTGGGCCGATCTTGGGAGGCATCGCGAGCGAAGGAAACAAGAAGTTTTGGAAGGCTTTTTTGCAAAGCGAGCAATCGGTTTGTCATGATTATATAGTCAAAAAGCTGGTGACTTCTGTGTGCCTCCGACGTGGCCCAAGTGTGTCACCGGAAATTCACGATGATCACTTTAGTCTGAGGTTTGTCCACCGAGGGCGAGCTCTTTGTGAGGCCCTTGGCCGTAGACTTCCCAGAGGCCCCTTGGCGGGTGTCTGGACTGGGCATCTGGACTGGGCGTCTGTCGTCGCTTCGAGGCGAGTGAACTGGGTCGGCTAGGGCGGCTGGCTTTTTTGATCGTCGCGAAAAGTTGGCATCCGGACTGGTGCTGAACATGAAGCGGTTTGAAAAGCAGCTTTTCGTGGCCTTTGCAGTTTCCTTTTTAAACGTGCAAGCTTTCTTTTTGTGTGTTCTGGCCATCATCTGCATTGGCCATGAGGCTGCTTATAGCTTATGACTTGCCAAGACTGTTTGGGTGTCACAATCCCTAGGGCTAGCACTGCTCCTAGGCACTCCACTTCACCCAAAGATTGAATCCTTGCACCTACGTAGATATGGATGTGGCTGCGAAATGGGTCACCAAAGAACTAGACAAACAAGGGACCAACAATTCACGAAGCATTTGACCCACTAACAAGTGCATTACTACTAGTAGCAAGAAGCTACCAGTAACAAGTGCATCGCTACTGGTAGCAAGTGCATTACTACTAGTAGCAAACAGCTACATCTTCTTTTTGAACTTCCCACCGAAACCTGTCCCAGTGGCACACTGGGCACTGGGGCGGACGGGGCAGACGGGGCACGCCGCAGGTTGAAAACCTCACAACTCAGTGGATGGATGGGGAGATCCTTGTGTGTGGAACCTCAGCCATCACAGGATTCTCATGGTTTTTGAAGACACGCTATTGTTGTTATTAAGTTTTAGTGTTAAGCACACACATATATATATATATATAAATACACATAACAAGACTATTTGGGTTTAATAACAAATATATGTATCCTGAGATAATGTGCCGCGGCAAAGTGCAGATGTTCAACAGCATGCTTCGTTCACTTTACAAATTCTGTTCAAAGGCTGAAGGACGTCGTGTGCAGAGTAGGTTCATGCTGTATTGAACAAAGCACACTGCAATAGTGGAATCCAAAAGGTTCGAACCCAAAGAATCCTAAAGGTTCGAACAATGAGCCATGAAGATCACCTTAAGAGTTCAAGTGCATCATGCTCAATTCCCTCAAAACATGGCCTGCGTAGCTCAGGGCACCTGTATTGTCTGAAGATTCGAAGGTGGAGATCTACTTACCTGAAGGTGCCTCGTCATTATTGTTTGATGTATTACATATAGATTGTGGTGGAAGGCATTGTTTTTACATTTAGTGTAAACGGTGGGTAATTGTCAGTCATCCAGTTTTTCATGAACATGCCGCTGTGCAGCAACTTGTACTAGCATGCAGTTTTGGACCACATAAGGAATTTATTGCCTTTACGAGGTTATTGACTCAGGACTCAAGAAAGTCGATCAAACTGCTTTTACTAAAAGGTTTGAGACCTCAAAGGCACATCAAGAGAAGCCAAATAGGCGGGATAAAGAAGTTTGGAATCTATGGTAGTGCTATCGACCAAGGAGAAGTCCAAACACACAATGCCTTGAACAGCCCTGGGAGCCGACTGATCTCGTGATTTGGGCGAATGCTCAGGGTGCTGTGACTCACCGCGCGATGCAGGTCGATGGCATCCCTTTGACCAAGCAGGTCAGTTTGTCCAGGGACCATTGCACTTTGCGTCCAAGAAGGCAGGCAAAGGTCCCTGAGATGGACTCAGAGTTTCTCTCATGCAAACTGGGCTGGATTTTTTAGTTTCATTTTGACCTTGCAAACAAGAGCCAAATCTCGCTTGTCCAGAGTACTGGTGACAGGCCATTTTGAGAGAAAACAATTGAGTCTTTTAAGATCGGTCAATCACAGCCTGATAAAGTCTCTATGTCAGCCGCCCAGATGATCAATCATTTTGTTGGTGGAAACAAGGGAAACACACTTCACCTTGCCCACATGTTACACTCGTTTGTCTAGTTATTCGTTGTTGTCTGAAGTCCATGCCTTCATACCCCTTGTCGTTCCTTTGTCTTGGCCAACGTCAATCCTGGTGGCAGGTGGACGTCTCTATCCCATTATATGGCTGACATATATATATATATGCATAATATATAGTTTTCGAGTTCAAAACCAACATCCCTGGTGGCCACGCGGGGATGATAGAAGTCAAAACGACCTCGCAAAATCCAGTCAAAACAACCTCTCCTTGTGGGGTGAGTCAGAACTCGAATAATCTCAAGAACCGGACGCTTGGTCAGCGCCCCTCCAAGACCTTAAAGTGCCAGGTGAAACTCTCAGAGGTTCCAGCCTTCGTTCGCCTGGGCACCGCTGCTCGGCTGACACAGATGTACTGCCGTGCATGAGTCCATGAGCACTGACTTTGAAGGTAGTTGCGCAGCAACGCAGAATCAGCACAACTTTACCAAGGACTCTCCAGGGTGCAGAGCTCATGGATGTTGCATGCTAGACACTGATTCATCCTCGGGCGCACCATGTTGTCCACAGGAATCTGGGAGAGCTGGGAAGGCTTTATGTGCGTGGCTCACTTGGCTCAAGGTTCTGACTTTGGCACCTGCCACCTTGGCCTCCAGCCAGAGCTTGCCGGGTGGGCCGCTTGAAGTGCAGGTGAGGTGACGGAACGTTCAACTGTTGGGATGTTTTCTGGACATTGATCTGAGAGGTGGACCAGGGTCTAGGGTCAAAACTAGAAAGCCAAGAAACAAGCAGGTGAAGATCCTAGTAGTCCATTCTGGGTATTGTGTCCCTTGGCTTCAGGCAGGAAGCGTCAGAAAATCAAGTGAACGTGTGTTTCACTCACAGCTGGCATCCTAATAGCAATGGCCTCCAACTAGTTACCTAGTTAAGTTTCCCGAAAAAACTAGGAACCAAATCATAAACGCGAGCGCTTCTTCAAGGAAGCTTCCCAAGCTGCCTTCAGGGCGGCGGGGGAAGCTTCCTTGAAGAAGCGTGAGATATCCTAGTCCATACTAGTAGCTTACTTGTAGGTACTAGCTACCTCTTCTACTAGCAACCTCTACACGGCCTAACCCCCCTTTTTTCCAGGTCTATGCGGGAGCCGACGGCCACTTCACCTTGATCGAAGACGATGGCCGTCGCCGAGCGGCCCCGGTGCGTCGGACGAGCTTTGCGCCTGGGCTGTCACGGAGCAAGGAGGTTTGAGGTTCCCTTGGAGCGAAAAGAAAAGTGCATCGCTACTCGGACCGCTTTCTGTAGCCCAGACTCAGAGTCACCATGTGCCAGCTGCAAACAGTGATGGCTTCAGGAGTCTTCTTCAACTCCAAAGGAACTTCATCAACGGAAGCCATTTTAGGTGTGTTCATCAATCTCAGCCCTTCCACCTCCAAAAGCTGTTCTTGGAAACCTGTTTTGCAGTTGGACAGCCCGCCTTGACCAGCCTGGCCATGAAGAAAACGCGTCCAACCGAGGTCTGGGACGATTTGCAGCAACGCTTGTCATGGACAGTGCAGGGCCAAGTGGGCCAAGCCGAGGCGACGGAGTCGGTGGACGGAGTCGGGGTTGACTGAGCATCACAAGGGTTTCACCTGAGAGCATGAAGGGATGATGCACGGCCTGCACGCAATATGATCATCTCTGGCGAAAGACCAGGGACAGAAGTTTGTGACACTTATAGTGAATCTCGTATGATCTCGTTTCCCCTTGCTCTTGATCACTGCTCGCACGATTTAGACGTTGCTCTTCTCACCCCTTTGAGCTGCGCCTCAAGGACGGCACCTCGTTTCCTCTTGCATCCCACCTGAAGGACGGTCTCTTCCGCCAGCTCATCCTGCGCGTCTTCGCCGCCGGCGGATCGCGCCAGTCGAGCCCGGTGGACCTGGGTGGGGGGCCTCGAAGTCGGGCGCTTTTCCATGGCTTTTGTATGTTTTTGTGAAAGGAACAGGTGTGACACACTGGGTCCCAAAACACATCTTCGAAAGGAAAAGGCATGAATAGGATGGGCCATATGTACTGCAATCATTAAACCATGTCCTTTTTGTTGCAGTGAAATGCGCTCCATTCTGCTGAATTCTTGTTTCGGGTGAGCCCCCATCCACATCGAGACATCAATTTGCCGCATCATCAAACATACTCCCCTGCGAGACTGTTCTTAGACTCGCATGTCGGCAGAGTATGGCAGAGTAGCAAAAACGGGCTGACTCTCGCGTTTTCTGCGGGCGCTCGCAGCGGGCCCTCTGCCCGGTGTCCCATCTCAGGTCTCGGTGGCACACTCTCGATCGGGACGGCGAGATCGTTGCGGCAGGTGCTACTGGATCCATCATTAGGATGATGACGACTAGCTTTGCTTGGGTACTTAAGTAGCATAAGATGAGTCATGTGACGTGAATGCCTCCTGCATTTCGGCTGCAGCCCAATGGCAGAGTCAAACATGTCGGAACTTCACGGTGGAGTCAGCAAGCAAGCAAGCAAGCAAGCTAGCTAGCTAGCTAGCCAGATATAGAGGGAGCCAGCACTGTGCTCCAAAGCCAACAAGTGCCATTTTCACAGACAACACCTGCATAGCCAAGAATATTCTAACAAGCAGCCTCATCGTTCTGGCAGGGTCAATCGCCTGTCTTTCTCGGATTGCCATTCCACTTTTTTGGAATGCAGACCATGACCAGCCTGAGATTGCCCAGCAGAGCACCAGCACTGCCTTGTGAAAAGTCCCACTCGAGCCCACCTTCAGTTGCCTTCGTGGAGCAGCATGTTTCCAGATCCCTTGCACGGACCTCAGTGGCCCTACTAGCTGGTTTTGTCTCTCATCGTGTGAGAAAACTCGGGAGGACTGGCAGAACGGGGCAAACGAACGCAAAGGCATCACCTGTGGTGCGGCGTGTTCTCGAGCCTGGCAAGTCACCCGTGTCGCAGATCCGGAACTTTTCCATCATCGCACACATTGATCATGGCAAGTCCACCTTGGCAGATCGTTTGCTGGAGATGACTGGTACAGTAGCCAAAGAAGACATGAAAGCACAATTGCTTGACAATATGGATATTGAAAGAGAAAGAGGCATCACTATCAAGCTGAATTCGGCTCGCATGAATGTCAAAGAGGATGGACATGATTATGTTCTAAACCTGATTGACACTCCAGGACATGTCGACTTCACCTATGAGGTAAGCAGATCATTAGCAGCCTGTGAAGGTGCCCTGCTGGTGGTGGATGCCACACAAGGTGTTCAGGCGCAAACCATTGCAAATGTCACTTTGGCAATGGAAGCTGACTTAGAGATCGTTCCAGTCTTGAACAAGGTTGATCTGCCCAGCGCGGATCCGGAGAGAGTTTGCCAAGAGATCGAGGATGTTGTCGGGATTGACTGCAGCAATGCTCTCTTTTGTTCTGCCAAGACTGGACAAGGTGTGCCTGAAATTATCAAGAGGATCATTGAGCAGGTGCCGGCTCCAAGTGTTGACGAAACACAAGAGCGCATGCGGCTTTTGGTGTATGACAGCTTCTATGACAACTACCGGGGAGTCATTGCCATGTTCCGGGTGGTGGATGGAAGCATCTCTAAAGGACAGAAGATCCGCTTTAAGGCTTCAGGCAAGGAGTTTATTGTGGAGGAGATTGGCATCATGGTGGGAGGCTTGCGAAAGCCCGTCAGCAGGCTTTCGGTGGGTGAAGTGGGCTATGTTTGCGCCAACATCAAAACGGTGGGAGACGCACGTGTGGGCGACACCATCATTGAAGCGGGCACTGAAAATGAGGTGGAAGCCTTGCCGGGCTACACTGAGGCCACACCCATGGTCTTCTGTGGCCTTTTTCCTGCTGAGTGGCCTGGCGAAGGTTTGGAACACTTCGCAGAACAATCTACCTCTTGGGCTCTTAGAGCTTTCTAGGCTCTCGAAAACCTGCACTGCATTTCGAGTTCTTGGTAACACCGTCATTCAGGAGCTATTGAATGCTTCTTCAGCAAGAAGAATAATAATAAGAGGAAGAAGAAGGAGAAGAAGAAGGTGAAGAAGACGACGACAAAGAATACAAACAATAATAAGAAGACAAGGAAGAAGAAGAAGAAGAAGAAGAATAAGAAGAAGAATAAGAAGAAGAAGCAGGAGGAGGAGAAGAAGAAGAACGAGGAGAAGAAGAACAAGGATAAGAAGAACGGGGAGAAGAAGACGAAGAAGGAGAACAAGAAGAACTGGCCCCATAGTGGAACCGTTTGGGGAACCTAATGGTCAAAACTGCGCACCTAATGCAATTTAAGAACCATCTGTGTTTCAGGGTTATAAGTTGCAACCTGCCAAAAGGCAGACCCACCACTGTGGATCGGTGAAACAAGAGCTGTTTATGCGAAAAAGACAGCGTGTCTTTTCTTTTTCTTGGAATCCAAGGTCGGGAGACTTCGAGATCATGAAAACAACAAGAGAAAGAATCCAACCAATGGCCTCCAACCTACTAGCGATGACCTCCAACCTACTAACGACGGCCTCCAACCTAAGAGCGATGGCCTCCAACCTACTAGCGACGGCCTCCAACCTAAGAGCGATGGCCTCCAACCTACTAGCGACGGCCTCC